ATTCTGTTATTTTCACGCACGCCATTTAATCTACGCTTTCTTGCAGGAATTGTGTTAATTCATAAATCCTGGTTTAATAGAAAAAACTTTATGCGGTCAGACAAACAAACTCGCGTAGATATAACTCTGTTTAATAAAATTACACATGAAGTAAACAATAAAGTGAAAGTTAAAACAAATTCATAAAAACGTAAAATGAAACCCTTAGTAAAGAAAAAATTAGCTAAAAGGTGTTTATAGCAGTCTATGAAACGAACCGAAGCTAAATTGTTGTAAAGTAAATGTAACCTTGTAATGAAGGCAAATTTAGCTGAATATTCAGAAACGTCTGAATGCGGGTTCACAAAGTGATAAGCATATGGTTTTGAATGTAAGTCGAGAAAGCCCATATACATTTTATTTTGTGTAATGTTAATTTTTTAAGGAAATTACACGCGGGTTAATTTTTGTTTGTGTGAAATACTTTGCAAGTAAAAACAAAAAACAAAAGTTGAAATCGAAGCCAGTCGTCACGTGATGACAACGACATTGTGCCATCGTGTACCATATTCGTTGCATTAAAATGTTTGACTAAGCAAAAACAGGTAAGATGATCTGAATGGGAAAATCCAATATGCAACCCGGACTCCTTGGATAAAAGCTTTTCTAACGACATGAGATTTGTAGCGTTTGATCGATAAATTTGCGAGAAAAGTTTAGGACAAACAAACGCAAGTGTATTATTTATATAGATGTGTATCTATGCGGGTGTGTGTATATGTTTTGTATGTGTGTGAGTCATTTCAGTAATTACTTTTGTATAAAATATAAAGCACTTATTAGAGGAAAGTAATCTTTGGTCAAGCAGGTTGGGGGAGGGCTTTACCAGAAATCTCCTTCCATATGCTGTGCTCATACGGAGGCGTGAGCGACATCTTTCGACTGAAGAGCACGGCAATCCCGCAAGGCAGGAGGGCTAATCTCGACTGGCATGCTGCTGGAGCTCGCCGAAGAGATACTTGCCGCTATGTAGGAGGCGGAACCCGCTGCTTTTCACCTATTCCATGGTCGTAAATATGTGTCCTTTGTGCACCGTCGATCTCCGACTGCTGCGGCAAGTAGGCCGCATTCCTCTGCCTTTGTAAGCATGGGGCCTGACATTCCGAGCTACAGTGCCTCGGGCCTCAACCGGCCGCTCACGTCAGAGGGTGTGGAGGAGAAAATAATCATTATCAGAGAGCTTTGTTAACCCTGTAGACACGACTGAATCTCGACGTTCGTCCTGCTTTTTGGGTTTTCTGCTATCAATGATTCATCTAAAGAAACAACAGGCTTCTTCCTTTTGATCCTGGCAAAAAAAAAATTGAAGAAACAACGGGCTTCTCTACTTTGTTTATCGAGTGGCCGAAAATTCTTGAAATCCTAACAATGTAACAATGGACACGGGTAACACACGGAGGGGACTTGCCCCCCCCCCCAGTAGTTAGTATAGAGGTTCGATTGCGAGTGAACAAGTGGAATATGGGAGTATTCGGCGACCCACTGACTAGGTCGTAAAAGTTCAGGTCATACAGTCCAAGAGTGCGACACTGATTCAACAGACCTGTTTCAGCAACCACGTGACTGCTGATCATCATGAAGTTTACACGTCGTCTTTTCCGGTAAGGTAAATTAGTAAATGTTCAAGAACGTTTTAAGGTTTATACAAACTGCAGCCATTTTGTTCGTTGTTCATTCCTCAATCGAAATCGTTTTTGTTTTTTTTATACCATACAGAAACAAAATCAACATCGGTAACCCCTTTCTTAAATATTATTTTGTAGGTTTATTGACATAAAATACTTCTCTGGTTATTAGTTTCAAAGAATGGGTCACCTCCTCTCTCTCTTGACACACACACACACACACACACACACACACACACACACACGGAGCGTCCACAAAGTCTTGCAAGACCTGTTCCGATTTTAAAAGTTTATTACAACAAAACCAAAAGAGTTAGCATTATGCAGTTTTCAGCGGCACTAATACTTTATATGCGTAAAGATGCAATCTCTTGGGGAGGACTTTGTGTACCGTTGACCTTTGTAGCTGGAGATCACTTCAAGCGCGACGAACGGACTTTCTAGGGCTGCGTTGGAACGTCTCCTGGACAACGGTTTCTTCGGAAACACCTGAACGTCCACATTGGGCTTTCTCCTGTGTAGTCGCCATCTTCATTCAAAGTTCGATCATTAGCATCTGGACCCTCCGATTACAATCTGTAAACCGAGAACGAAACACCATTAGCTAATCAACAAGGTGATAAAAAAATGAATAGCTAGCTCTTTAGGTTTAGTTGAAAAAAAAAAAAACTTTTAAAACCGGACAGGACTTTGTGGACGGGACACCCAGTGTATGTTAACACACAGAGATCCACATCTTTGCATCTACGTACTTCTCCAGTTATTAGCTTCAAAATATAGGTCGCGACCTGTCAGTTAACGTGTCGGGCTGCAGGTCGAACAGTCCAAGGCTCGAGCCCGCGATATACCCCCTCTCTTTCTCTCTCTCTCTCTCTCTCTTATATAAAAAATATGTCTGTGTGTGTATATAGATACTGTTTGTGTTGGCAGGATAGGACGTGTATGAAGCGTTATAAAAGTCAAAGTTGTTAATATTGTAGTACAACTAGAAATATAGTAAATTTATGTTTTAATGTTACCAATTAAAAAAAAAAAATTGCCCCTGCGGAAGAAAGACCCACTTATCGAAAGCAGCGCCCGGGTTATAGGGTATTGTGTTTAGTTGATTTCATAATCTTACGTGTTTTCCTAACATCATGAAGTGGTTTTTTAAATGGTACTTTGTTGTTGTTGTTGCCTAATTTAAAGAAAGTTGATTTCCGTGGTAAAATATGCATATTCAGTTCATTACTTATGTGAGGAGTCTCAAATAATTGGTGCTACATACATTTTCTTTAAAAAAGATAGAAACTAGGTTTTGAATGCGAGATTATTACCCTGATGATGACGTCACACGTCTGACAAATTTTGGTAAGGTTCCGGCTCTATAAAATTTAACAGTAAAGACATTATACAGGGGACAAGTGAACAACAGTCTTCATCAACGATCAACAGCAAAGAAATTCCAGAAATATGAGACTGTGGCTAGGCTAGGAGTTGAGACTGTGGCTTGGCTAGGAGTTGAGACTGTGGCTTGGCTAGGAGTTGAGACTGTGGCTTGGCTAGGAGTTGAGACTGTGGCTTGGCTAGGAGTTGTATATACTTGTACTTCGAACATACAATTGTAAGATATCGCTCTGACATTCGTTGTTATGTCTTTATTGGTTGGAGATGAACACATAACACAAGATGGCGCTGCTCCATTTGCCGGTATTTTGATGCATGCCATGAGTTGTCGAACATGTTTATAGTTAGTCAGTGTTTTCATAGAGTATGTTTGGACAAGTTGTCTGTCATGTTTATAGTTAGTCAATGTTTCCACAGATGATGTTTGGACAAGTTGTCTATGATGTTTATAGTTAGTCAATGTTTCCACAGATGATGTTTGGACAAGTTGTCTATGATGTTTATAGTTAGTCAATGTTTTCATATATGATGTTTGGACAAGTT